TGAGATGCTTCCAGCTCCTCCTCTTGCACTTGCTTTATCACTTGATCCCCTCCCTTTCATTCTTGCCTTGGAATATCTCTGGTCCTTGATCCTCAATTCCTACACAGTTTTTTTTTAATAAATCAAAAATGTTAAGGTGCTTTTTGTTCATCCCTTTCACTTTCTGGAAAACAAATAAGAATTAGGGAATACTTTGCCATCTCTGTGGAGTGTTCTCCTGCTTCTTGTAGGGTCCTGGTCTGAGCTCCCTGCTGGATGCAATAGCCACTGATTCTGTTGCTTTTTCATTTATTCATCCTGGCATGTGAAATCTCTTTTCTTGGAGTTAGGTGCTAGTGGATCATGGGAAAGAAAACAAATCCTTGCCTGGTGAGAGATTTTGCTAGTGTTAACCCAATTTATGTTGCAAAAGGCATGGCTTTAAGAAGTAAATGTTCAAAACACAAGATGTGCTCTGTATTAAGGGGATAGCTAATAATGAGTTGAAAGCACTGAGATGCCAGCAGAGAAACAATCTGCTACTTGCGCCGCTGGATGTTTCCACTTTACCCATGCTACCTGTAAATGGCTTACATTCCAAACAAAACCAAAACCAGTCAGATAAACCAAACAGGGATTAAATGAAAGATTAGCATTTTATTTAAAGCACAAAAGTCAGTCTATGAAAATAACATGAAAACAGGGTCTCTGTCCTTTGTTTACCCTACTGCAAATATGTTTGCTTAGGAGCAATAAGAGTTAATTGTCAAACTTTACAATGTAGTTGGAGATTTTCTCATAAAATGTATAACAGACTCTGCCCAGATGGCAAATGCTGATATGTAAATCTAAAACATGAAAATTTCCATTGAGGGCCAGATGGTGGCTTAATGTGAATTGTTTAACATTTATGTTTATCTTATTAAAAGTGCCTTTATATGTCCAAACTAAGCTATCAATGTGGTTGGAAGAGCATATCACTAAATGAACAAAAAAAAAATCAAACCAGGCACCTCCTGCTTACATGGATCATGGGAAAGCAAAGCATGTCCTCTGTTGAGAGAAGTTCTTTCTCTGTTTACAAAATTGTGAAGAAAATATCATAACAAAATCAAATCACTGTTTGGGAAAAATATTAAAACTATATTACTTTCCCAGAAGTTAGAAGTGTTGGACAATGGTAATACAGACATTAAGTACTGTAATGTATTTCCCCTCAAAATAGGTGTTGGTGTTCAGTGGGAAAGAGCTGAGCTCTAGACAAGGGGAAAGCATTGCAGCTTCAATCCCTCCTGGGCACAGGCCCTTCCTCCTGCAGGGGAGGCCTGGCTCTTCCTGCACTGCCTCTTGGCTCTGCCAAAACCATCGTTTCCTCTGATGCAATTCAAGAAATTGCACAATGGAGGAAAGAACAAACGGGCGCTTGTAGACTCCGTCTCATGAGGGACCGCTGGCGCCTTTACAGTAAATACATCTGATATTAAGGGAAGTGGTTAGCATGGTTCCAAAGGGCAGCAACGAGCCCTGGGTCAGATGAATCTTTCACAGGACTCTCGGTGCACGTGCTCCAGTTTGGATGCAACTCTGTGCTTGACCCTCCAAATGAATCTTTGAGACCAGCACACCATGTTGAGGCATCTAAAAATCAGAGGGTAGCTGTTGCATGGGCAAGGAGTGAAATACATTTTAATAGCTTTAGTTAAACACTCCAGGCATCAAATACAGTTATTTTTGTGATGCTTTCACAGTGGAAGGGGAAACATGCTTCGATGATAAACCTAAAATACAGTGCCTGCCTGTGTCTGTGGATACCTCTGTGTATGTGTGTGATAGTGTTCAGCAAGGCAGAGAAATAATTTAAAGAGGAAGGCTGTGGGGAGGCTGAAGGAACAAAATTGCAAAATATTTGCTTTAGACTGCAGTTTTAAAATTTTTTAGTTCTTTGCCATCACCTTGTGCTGGGGGTTGTGATTCACTCCTTAGTGAATCACTGGGTCAATGTTGATTCTGTTAACTTTGACCTGAGGTTTTGGACTAATGCCCAGAAATTTTTTCTTGAAAAGGGCAGTATTACTAAAAGCATTGGCTCAAATTATAGATAAGTGTTAAGTGGCAGGTTAATATTTAAATTATTAACTGTGCTGTTTGATATTACGTATTAGCATATTAAACAGAAGAACACTTCCTCCACGCAACCCATTCATGTGAAGAGTAATTACTCGAATTGTTATTCGAAGTTAAGGCTAATATTGCTGTATTTATACAGAACTTTTCAAATTGAAATTGGAAAAGGGCCCTCCTAATTATATGGTGATAATTTAAAAAAAGACAAAACACAATAACAATCTTTTGGTTTAAAGTGCCACAAACACAACAACTAAATAAAATAAAAGTTGCTGCTGACAAGCATCCCTCTCCAGGGTAGAACACACCACCATTTAGCAAAGCTCAGCCCTTTGCCAGTGATGAGGTGCTGGGCTGAGGTACTGCTCCCTTGTAAAGTGGTGACAGGAGCCAATCAATGCTGTCGTGTTTCTGAAACAATAGCCCAAGATCCTGAAAACCATGCAAGCATATTTATTCAAAAAGTAATCCTGCTTGCTGAACTGATTGCTGCACACACACAGAGGTGGTGGTGTATAGCCACAGCGGGTTTTTTGGCCAGCTGGTGTCTTTGGAGGTGTCTCATCCCACAAATGAGGCAGCACCCAAAGCTACTTACTTTGATAATGAATATAACCAGTAGTGTGGCTGAAAGATTTAATAGCTGTGCCTGAAGTTTTTCCAGTAAGGCTGTGTGGTTTTTCTTTTTAAGGAAAACATGTTATGCCTTCTGTACCTCTTTTTTTTTTTATCACTTTTGTTTTTCATGATTTAAACTGAAGCTGAGCACCAGTTCTGCTATTTTTGTGCTGTAGTCTGTTGCAACTCAAGGAAGAAAACAGCTCTGTTAATTCACAGCCTTGTGCATTATACACAGAAAAAAAATCTCGAGTCACATTTTTAATGGTGCCTTGTAAATGAATAATTCAGAAGTGAGCCCTAAAATCCAGATCCTGCAGTTTTATCCAGAACATATTGCAAATGCTCTGAGACTAGGAAACAGTTTTGAATCTGCTGCAGGAGGAGACAGTGAGCAGCTGGTAAACTACTGGCCCTTAATGAAGCTATACCATATTGCAATATCTCCAATTACTGCAGAACTTAATTAGTTCGTTTTACCCTGCCAATCTGGAGAGACCAAACATTGTCTTGGGCAGCCACTGTAATTATTTCAGCTTCTTCATTGCTGGCCATTAAAGCTGAGTTTGGTCTCTCCCAGCAAGGTATATTAAATATCTTAGGTTTGGGAATGCTTGCATTGTGTTACACGCAGATATTTTATCTAACTGCCTGAGTTTAGAGGAAAGTACTTTTTTTAGTAACTGGTAGAAGTAGTTCATGCGATGTATAAATGAGTGTTAATGGTGTAGTATTTTTAATAAAGAAATGAGACTACTGAATTGGTTTGTTCAAATGTGGACTGACCCTAAAGCTTTTTGCCATAACTGCTGTACAGAAGTGATCACTTTGAATGGCAACATGACTTGGTGTTCAGGTTACTACTTTTCTCTATTTGAAAATAGTCTTTAGAGATAAGGGAACATTTTAATTTCATATGATGGCAAAATAAATGTATCTTGGGTGTAGCGCTGCTAAATGAATCAGTAAAGTTCTGTTTAAATGAAATGCAGTGTTCGGTATATTATTTGTAGTGTGCTAGCCTGATGAGAATGCCTAACAAAACATTATTTTTGTGTGCTGCCACTGAAGGGAAATTTTAAGAATAATGAAACATGCCATAAAATCAAAACTCCCAGGTACCAGCTAGAAATTGTTGGCATTTACCCATCTGACAAATGTGGCTACCAAGTATTAAAATTCTCTATCAACTGACATCCAAATTGATGATTTTTTTTTAGTGTTAGGTTTTCTTCCAAGAAGAAAATAGTCCCGACTTTATCCCTTAAACATACTGAATATTTGAACAATAAAAAAACCAAAACAATCTACTAAACTCCCCCCCCCCAAAAAAAACCTTTATGCAATAAATTAAAAGAACTTGTAGCCAAATCAAATAACAACAACTGGGTGGTTTTCCCTAAATGGGAGAGTTTAATTTGTCTTCTGAAACACTACAGGCACAAGGGCTAGCTGGTTTCCAAGAAAGGTAGGTTATCGTTAGCTGTCTGATAATGATTGAGTCTGTGATGAGCCAGGGGCCAATTGATTACCAAAATTTGACACCTATTGACCTCTAGTTTATACTCAGCTGCTCCAAAGCAACTGCTCTTAGAACATCATCTTAGACTAAACTTTAAATTAAGACTATCATTAAAAAAAAATGTAATTGTGTTTAGTGCTACAGTGATGTTATGCCACTTGGTGACTTTGAAACCAGGTTATCCTCTGACTCTGAAGCCTGCTTCTGCTTATCTTTAAGATTGATACTTAATACCAGGCTGGAACATAAATATTTTAAAATACATTTTGCAGTATGGCTATTATAGTTCCTTCAGACAGCCCCTCTCATGTTTTTAGTCAGCTTTTGCAGTTTTATAAGATCATACTGGAAAAAATTTACATAGGCAAACTTTTCAATTTCTGTTCTTTTCTCTTAAAAATTACTATCTTAATGTGACATAATTCATTCTATAGCTTCATATTTTCTATGAGCTAACTTAGGAAAGAAGAATATATTTATCCTCTGGGTAGTTTTTGTATTACCTTACCAATTATAACAAATTGCTTCATTTTTATGAGCCTGTGCGTGGGCCACAGCAACCAAACCATCAGTTCGCACACTTCAGAAAGGTTGTGTAGAGCCATATTTTATTTAGATAACTTTATAGGATTAAGAGAATAAGCCTCAGTTACATGAGTCTACCTGTTTAATACAGAATTTAAAAGCTTTGCTATTGTTCTAAACCAGTTTTGCTGGGGAGGATGCTTGCTTAAAAAAGGCATTTCTATTACAGGACATGAACTTGATTGACATCCTTTGGAGGCAAGATATAGACCTTGGGGCAAGGCGTGAAGTTTTTGATTTTAGTCAACGACAGAAAGAGTATGAACTCGAGAAACAGAAGAAACTTGAAAAGGAAAGACAAGAGCAGCTCCAAAAAGAGCAGGAGAAAGCCTTGCTGGCTCAGCTGGAGTTAGACGAAGAGACAGGTGAATTTGTTCCTGTTCAGCCAGCTCGACACATTCAGTCAGAAAATACTGAGCCACCAATCAGTTTTTCGCAGGTAAACTCTAATATGTGTTTGCAAGTGTGTTTAAACTTTTTTCCATTCACAGGAAGACATAATGTTAGTGGTTACCTAAAATGAATTTGCATTCATGGCTGTAATGGAAGATTCTTCAGTTATTCAAAGATGCAGTAACATTTTTTCATAACTTTCCCATTTAGACCACACAGACTTCAAAGCCAGAAGCAGAGGCCTTGTCCTTTGATGACTGCATGCAGCTCTTGGCAGAAGCATTCCCGTTTATAGACGACAATGAGGTAAAAATGCTCAATACTGCAGTTTCATGGGTGGTCTTCTAAGGGATCAGTCTCATGTCTTCTCTTAGTAAGATTTGTCTTCACCAAAATATTAGTTTGTGATATGATTTGCGTTTGGAGTCCCCAAGCTGACTCCAGCTGGAATAAAGCAGCGTTGTAGGCTTAAACCAGGGCTGTGTCCGGAGGCAGTTGAGCAATACTCTTGTGTTCCTGCTGCTTACTGATCCTGCAGCCTGGATTCAGTGTATAGCACATGATGGCAACCTTTGCAGTCACCGCAAGTAGCGGTGGTGGGCTTTGTTACCGTGAGCTTAGTGCAGCTCTCTGGAGCTAGTGGTTTTGAGATGCTGTATTCCCATGTGCTGACTCTGGGCTATTTGATGTGTAAAGATAAGCCCTTCACCAGCCAGTTTCTAGCTTTTTTTTTTTTCCTATTTCTTTCCTTAATATGAAAACTCCTTTCATAAGAATATTTTTGTATTATGCCGTTATTTACAAAAAAGTCTTTTTGTTAAGAAATACCTGTCTGTTCTGCAGAAATGGTAGAACACCAAAAACCAGATTTTTGCTTTGGAAAATTCAAAGTTAGTTTTTGGCTGGCTGGTTTTTGGTTTTTATGTGGGTGGTTTTTTGTTATTGTTGGTTTTTTGGGGGTTTTTTAATTTATTTTTTTTAAACACTCCAGGCGGCTTCAGCTGCATTTCAGTCACTGGTTCCTGCTCAGATTGATAGCAACCTGGTCTTCGTTTCCTCTGATCAGACTCAGCCACCTGAATCACCTGTTCTAGTTCCACTTATTGATGCGGAGAATATGCAGAACATAGACGAGGTTTGGGAAGAATTATTGTCCCTTCCGGAGTTACAGGTAAAGGTTTAGTATGATAAGCACCTGAAAAAAATAGCATGATATTTTGGAAGAATGTGGTATTTTGGAGAATGCAATACAAGTGTCTTTAACAGACGGTGATTATGACAGTCATGTTGGATTCTATATGTGCAGGTTGTCTATAGCTCAATATGAGCTTTGGAGAAGGAGGAAAGGAAAGAAGGAAGGAAATCAGTTGTTTATCAGAAGGCCTTAATAAAACACAGTCTATCTTCCCAATTAGAACTTCCCCATGTTCAGCAAATCATCGTTTGCCTCTGTATGCAACTTCTTATGGCATGATCATGGCTGAAATTTCAGCTGCTTAAAAATGGACGCTTCTGAATTATGGATCCACAGCAGAAATTGCTTCCACAAGTATTATTGTAAATGGGTTTTTTGCTGTGTCTAAGTAGATTGTGTAACTTGTTCATGGTTACTTTTGCATTCAACTTCTATCTAAGGAAAAGGTTTTTTAAAGATGGTAATAGAACATACACTTAAATACATAGAAGAGTCAGGTATAGTTATATAACTATTGTTTATATATGTTCAGTAAGAACTAATTATGTAATGTGTATCAACTGAGTATTTCAAAGGAACAAAAAAAATCACTTTGCTATAGTAGTAAATTGTGCATTACAGAGGACATCTAGGAGGCTTTTTTCCTCCCACTTCATGTTTCTGTTTATATTTTCCTTAGACTTGACTGTAAAATCCACTCTACTTTTTCCTCTTGTTTTTCTATATTTTTCAAAATTTTCCTAGTTTCCGAATCTTTACTGCTGTGGTCGGCTTAAAAGCCCCACATAAGTAACAAGGGCAATTGGCTGTGAAGAGGCAGCAGCAATGCTGAAAATAGATTAAGAAACCAAACTGAAACTATCTATTGCAGTAATTCTGAATAGTAATTGAATAATCTTCTGAAAGAAGTGAGATAATTGAGGGCATCACCTTTTATGAATTATGTATTGAAGGAAAGAACAAAAAAAGAAAAAAGCATGCTCAGTCAAAACCTTAGCTTAAGCTTTGAACGATCTCTGGTTAAATAATCAGTGTGTGGTTCCTTCTTAAGAGAAACAGCATCATTTTGGTAATTGCCTAATTCTTTGGGGACAGCAGGCACACTTATTTCAGCTTCGGTTAAGAAACTGCCACCCCGTTGGAAAGAACATTGGTCTTGTAGCCAATGAAAGCCTATCAATGTAATAGTCCTCAATGCTCACACGGATGTTAGCCAGCTTAACTAAAAGTATGTGGGGTGAGTTAATGTTTGTAAGGCTTTGTCTTAGTACTCTTTTTACTTCACTGAGAATTACATTTCTCAGCACTGAACAGCTGCTTCATTCATTCAGTAAATCCTAAAAGAATCTTGGTTTTTGAGGAAAAGAATTCTATCACATAATAGGAAATTGAGTGCTAAAAGTAATTATGTGCTAGTAATGAGCATTAAGTCTCATTCAGTAATTTTACAGTTACCGTACTTATGCTATTCCTAGCAGTGGTGCTTGTGAGAAGTTCAGACCTGGCAGCTCCAGGATCCCCATGAGCAGTTCAGCAGAACAGGAGGGCTCTGCGCAGCTTCAATGTAGCACTGGAGTGCATTGGAGTGGGTCCCTCCAGCATCTTGCTACGAGTTTGAGAGGCTCTGCTGTCCTAATCTAAGTAGCTTTGTCCAGAACAAGTTGCTTCATACTCTGCTTAGGCATCTAGTCTGCTTTCTAGATTGCCTCTCCATAGTACAAGTGTGTTGTAGTCATCCAGGTTACAGCAATGTTGTAATACTCATTTTCTGTGCATGTGGATTGCTAAAATACTTAATGATTGTGGGTTATAGAAAAAGGTTTTATCATCAATTGGTGACGTGTTGCTCAACTTCTCTTACATTTCCCATGTAGTGTCTTAACATTGAAAATGATAACCTGGCTGAGGTAAGCACAATCACAAGCCCTGAAACCAAGCCAACAGAGATGCACAACAACTATAATTACTACAGCTCGTTACCCATCATGAGAAAAGATGTTAACTGCGGTCCAGATTTTCTGGATAGTATCGAGGGGCCCTTTTCCAGCATTTTGGCACCAGAAGACACCAGCCAGCTGAGTGTGAGCTCTTTAAATGACACATCCCCTTCAAACTCTGATTTCTGTGAGGATTTCTACACTGCCTTTATTGATACAAAGGCAACTGGTGACACAGCAACGACAAACACTATCAGTCAATCACTTGCAGAAATTCTAAGTGAACCTATTGACCTTTCTGATTTCTCACTGTGTAAAGCTTTTAATGGCAACCACTCAGGAACCGTACCAGAGTGTAATGATTCTGACTCTGGTATTTCACTGAACGCAAGTTCTAGCGTAGCATCACCTGAACATTCTGTGGAATCATCTGCCTATGGGGATAAGACTTTGGGTTGTAGTGATTCTGAAATGGAAGACCTGGATAGCGCTCCTGGAAGCGTGCCGCAGAGCAGTGGTAGCGCGTACTCGCTGCGCTTCCAGGATCAAGTGTTTTCTTCCATGGGGCCGCACACTCAAACACCGAGCTTGCAGTGCACAAACACACCAAAGAAAGAACCCCCTTCTGGTCCAGGCCACCCCAAAGCTCCATTCACAAAAGATAAACCTTCAAGCCGCCTTGAAGCTCATCTCACAAGAGATGAGCAAAGAGCAAAAGCTCTGCAGATCCCCTTTCCTGTCGAAAAGATCATTAATCTCCCTGTTGATGACTTCAACGAAATGATGTCTAAGGAGCAGTTCAATGAAGCCCAGCTTGCACTCATTCGAGATATACGCCGGAGAGGCAAGAACAAAGTGGCTGCTCAAAATTGCCGTAAAAGAAAACTGGAAAATATAGTGGAACTGGAGCAAGACTTGAGTAACCTAAAAGATGAGAAAGAGAAATTGCTTAAGGAAAAAGGAGAGCATGACAAGAGCCTTCGTCAAATGAAAAAGCAACTAACCACCTTATACCTTGAGGTCTTCAGCATGCTACGTGATGAAGATGGAAAGTCTTACTCTCCTAGTGAGTATTCACTGCAGCAAACTAGAGATGGCAATGTCTTTCTTGTTCCTAAAAGCAAGAAGTCAGAGACTAAACTTTAAAGGGCAGGACAGCTGACTACTGTTCTCTGAGTTACTATTTTTATATTGTTATCCTGATAGTTTTTACTGTGAGGTGGAATGCAGAATTAGGTAATATTTTTCAAGTGATTCTATGCAATGATAATTTTAAAGTTAATAATTAGTTTATGAAAGATGCAAGTTTAAAACTAATAGTGTAATGCAGGTGGATGTATGCAAAACTTGTAATCTCACTTTTATAACAGACATCTTATAGCACCACTTTGACTAGTTTCCATATACATGTAAATATTTAAGATATCATATTTATATACTGTTACTATCTCTTGTGATATTCATAGATTTATTTGATATATATATAAATGATTTTTAGCCTTCTAAATACAATTTCTTGCAAGACAGTCTGGCTTCTGATACTTTTTTATAAATATGCAATAGTATTTGTTTCCCATTTTTCTTACACATTTATACTTGCTTTATATTTAATATATGATTTTAATTTAGTATAAAAGTTGATACTTAGTGTTTGATTTGGATTTATCAGTTCATTAAACTTTTTTAACTCTATTTCATACGCACTTATTTCCCTAAAGGGAAATCCTCACTAGTTTTCCAAGGCCAAGCCTTCACGTAACAAATAGGCTTAATTACCAGAGACGTATTGTGCAGCATTGTCAGCATTACTAAAGCTTCCTTTAGCGTCACTGTAAGTGCCATTTGGAAGGGTTGTGTAACAGAAAGTTAAGTTTTAAGTCTATGCTAAGTTTCCATAATTTTGTTTTGCTCTTTGAACACTACTTTAATTCATGATCTTTTCTCCAAAGGCATTTAAAATCTGTTATTTATGACATTGTTAGCATTACACATTTTTCCAACTAAAAATTCTATAGACTTTTGAGTACTTGTTCTAGAAATACACTGGGTCTCACTCAGCCCAGCGAGCATCCTTTGTTGCTGCGATTACTTGGGAGCTTATGGAGAAGGGATGCTGATTGCCAGCCAACTGCACTATCTGGAACCTGTGCTCAATTAACTGAAAAGCATTGTGGTGTTTAAATTATGATTTATAAGAGAATAAAAATTGGCAAATAAATAGCATTGGGTTTTTTACTCTTCAGCTGGACTCCATACTTGATCATTGTGGATTTTTTGAATACAGAAACTGTATAATTTGTAATTTGAAACACATTGATCTGAATATTAAAAACCATATCCTCTTCCTTCATCTTCCCTATGAAACTTCTAAGAGGCATGTTCAGGCTGAAATGTTTTTTCTGCCACTGGTGCTCTATATCATTGTAGGACTTTTTGTCTATTACAATATTATGCATAACTTCATTTAGTATAATAAACACCAAGTTGTTTTGCAAGGCCTTATTGTACATTTTTTAAGAGAAGGAACTGGAGATACTAAAAAAGGGCAGAGTAGGACCCATGATGATTGATAGTGTAGCAAAAAGGGTTTAAAGAGGGGCATGAGATTAGGAAACCAGCCTTTTGTTAGCTCAGTATTTACAAAGTTAGAGCAATGCTAAGTAAAATGATGTGAGTGTTGGTGAGTTCAGGCTCAAGGTTTTTATTTCCCAAACTCTTTAACCATGCTGGAGTTGCATATCCAGCAGAAAGCATCTCATCTCAGGGCTGGCTGTGAAAGCCAAAAGAACAAGTTTAGATTACCGTAATCCCCATTGCCTACTTATCACTTCTTACAGACCTTCTGAGTGGCCAAAAAAAAAAGCAAAGAGGAAGGGTAAGGGATGAAGTATAGACTGCCATAGCTCTGATGAGTGTTATTCTGTCAGAGGATCCTGCAGAAGGTCTCCTGTTTTCAACTGTGCTCTGTGCTGTTTGCTGCTTTCACACAACTCTCCAGTGACTCCAAGCCCTCTCACCTGAAGAGCACAAATGGGTTTGGAGCCTACCGCTGTATAGGTGGCAATTTGTTTTTTCCCTGTGGGCACAGAATTTCAGATGCAATTTTATTGTCCAGTTGGTCACAGTAGTATCTGTGTAACTCTCTGTGATCAGCTTTTGGTTTTATTACCCCAAATATTTTTTTTATTTCCAATCTTTGTCACCTTGTTATTCATCTGCCTGTTAACTCATATACTGATTCTGAATAGTAGAGGCTGCTCTAGTGCCAACACACACATTCCTTCTCTCTCTCTCACATCAGCAGTGCGATCTTAGCTAACCAGCAAGGAGCAGAGCAGTAACAACAGCTTCACAGAGAAGGAAGTTCTGCTTCAGGGCAGTGTAACCAGCAGGAGCCATGATCCTACTGACAAGATCCTCTTTAAAAGGCAGGCATCACAGCCACACGCCAGTGCCAGAAGAAAGCCTTTGGTACCTGAACCTAGTACACTGAGGCTCCAGCCCTGCCTACCTTAAAGTAACAGCTCCACACAACTTCTCATGCTGTGTCGCATGCTGCAAACTTTGAAGTGAGAGGTCCTGCTGCACAAACTGTATCAGGCAGCAGATACAGCAAAGTCATGAAAAAACTAGCCTCACATTTCCCACATCCCCGGAAGCAGTGGGAACCCAGCCCCTTACAGCAAGCAGGAACAGCTGTGGTTTTGCTGAAAACCTCAGGAAATGTAAATCTGGGTGACCCAACTTGCACTTTGAAGCTGCTTACCTTGTTTATACCAACCTTCAGCCTTGTAACAGGGTGTCAGTCCATCCCCCTGCAGCCCTCAATGTGCTCTGAATGCAGAACACGCTTTTTGGAGTGGCCAGTCAGTACCGGTGGTTGAAAACCTGGAGGCTGGATTTGATGGACGAAGCAGATTTATTTGCTGTAGACAGGGCCGCCACGTACCAGCTAAACTAAGCCAAAGATGTTGCAGCAGTGAGGAAAAGCTTTCTCACTGCCTTTACCGACCTTGCACCAGCCCTGCCTGAGAAGGAAAAACACCCCTAACTAATGGGCAAAACACAAGGGCACGTGAGACTGCGCTGCCATTTAAAGCAAGAGGATCCTAGCCATACTTAAGGGCAGCAGTTTCAGAGCATAAGCATTAAGGAAGAAGCACACTGAGCTGTGGCCCCGCACCGACTTTCAACACTGATACACAGTATCTGCTCAGTCCTAGAGAGGAAGAGCTCCTGAATTCCCCCACCATAAGTGGGCTCTCAAACATTCTCTCTAGCTGCAATACAAATACTTTAATTACAAATTGGTGATAAACCAGACACCTCAGTAAATGCCTGCCCTCCCATTTGTTCTTTATTTTAGCACTAATGCAGAAGCCGAAGGCACCAGCACCCTTACAGCCTGTGCAAGGGCCCTTGTATTCGTGCTACCCACACATCTAAAACCTCATGCAGGGATACTTATTCCATTACCAAGATGAAAAGAGCAACAACAAAAACCGCACAGTTAATGCAGAAGTCCCATTTGAATTCCACCAGGCAAAGAATCCGTCTGAAGTAACTCGGACCACATCAACTTGCACTGTTTAAACCAGTATTTTTCCTATCAATCAGGAACACAGTGAACATTGTTCTCACATCAAGACACCCAACATCATTAAGGAACAAAATACTCCACATTAGATTATTTTGGTATATGTGAAAACATCAGGTTGCAAACTATATCCTTCATTTTATTATTACTATTATTGCTGAGGTACAGAGTATGTTCCCAAACCTGAGAGTGGCTAAGTGATATTGCCAAGTCTAATGCATCACAGTGCTGACCTCATACACTGACAGTGGAATGTGGACACCATACGTTTCTTGATCAAAACATTCAGTTTTAAAACTATTGAAAGTGAAGCTGAGGAGCTGGGCTGAAGCAAGGTTTTCTGACTTGCAGTCCCAAGGTGGAAAGATGATCCTGTAACTCAATGTGTTGCAGTAATTTAAGACGCTTTGTGCTCCTCACAGCACTGAAAAAAGGTGATGGCAACACAATTTAGATTGTAAGTCATTTGACAATATACACTTTATTCTGATACAAAATTGAAATATTTTAACAAATTTCAATCCATTATGGACTATACTGAAGTTTTTAATTTCCATGCTATTCTTAAACTCGTTTAACCACAAGTTCTAAGATATCAGCATACTAGCACCATTGCTCTTCAAGTCTTTGCCAGTTATTATAACATATTATTCTGTTTCCAATCTTGCGATATTATCTTCTACATGAAGGCCATTTTTTCTTCTACGGAGATACTTGGATTACTTTAGTTCAGGAAAAAGCTTAACTTAGCTAGAGATGTCAACCTGTAGCACCCACAGCAGAAAAAGAATCATCCATCAGATATCTGAATTTTAGTGAGACTCAAGATCTTTCATGCTCCACACAATTTAAGACACAAACACTTGTCAGAGACCACAGAGTGATACATAAGTGAATATTCCACTGCAGCTTAGACAGTATATGAAAACACGTTAATGTCTTAAACACAGGAACCAAAGCAAGGCAGTACATCACACAATGCTGGAAAGACTAGGAGCATTCCCCTTCCCGCCTTAAATACATAAAGGATACCACAGTTAAGATGCGTTTAATTTCAGCGCTCTAGAGTAACACCACACTTACACATCTCCATCAGCTGGGCCAGTGTAACACACTGTTACTACCTGGAAGTACCATTTGCTTTTAGGTTAACACACAGGTTTAGGGATCAAAGAAACGTCTGTGGAACTGCAGCTTAGGGACTAATGCTTCATTAACTTTACATGTTACATCCCCATCTCCATTTACAGCTGCTCTTTTCAACAGCAGCCACCACAGAAAAACCCAGCCATGAAACAACATTCTTAACTCTTGGAAGTGCCTCTCGGACAAAGATACGCTCAAACAAGTACTCCTGACGGATGTGTTTATCCTTGACGAGGTTTATTTCTGAAGAAATTGGAGTGTGAATAATCAAAATTAAGCAAATTAGTCTAACAAGAGTGTTATAAATCCAAGTGTGGAAATAATTCTAACTGCAAATATCTAGTTCTACACATGGTGCAAAAAGACCCCTCCAGAGCACAGAACAAGTCTGCAGCAGTGCAGAATCCTCCGATGCCAAGGAAAGGAAAGGAAGCGCTTTGCTCTATACACAGGCCTCGTAACGGCATGCAAACTAGAGAGTTTTTGTTAAAACTTGCTTTTGTTAAAACATTTTTCAAGATTTTACTGTTAAAAAAGTGTAACGTTCCCCCTCTTCTCAAGGACAAAAACATTTGCCCTCACCCAAGTAATCATAAGAGGCACTAAGATTTAAACTCATGTTTCTTTTCCCCCATTACCTGCTGCTCCACACAGCTGCCCAGGTGAGCTCACAACTTTGCCTGGCCGAGGAAAAGCAAAGGTTTTCCACCTCTAGGTGCAAGAAAAGCAAGCTTGTCACCCCAGCAACAGGCGGCCTAGCATGCTACACTGAGGAGACTGAACTTACTGCAGCAGTTTTAAATCTTGCCTCAACCCTGGCTAACCAAAAACATTTGTCAGCTGTTTGTACAAATATACAGTCATTGTGGGATTTCCATCAAGTAGCTCCCAATTCTATGAAAATCGCAACACTACCATTGTAAATTACTTCCAAGTTAACTTTCAATTGTACGTTACAATGCCAAGTTTGCTTTCTGGACGTTTACAGAGAGCATGTAACAAGTTTAAATCCTTGAATTGGTCTACAAACATGCCTGAGCCTCAGGTTAAACCAAAATGCATGGGTTCCATTTGGCTTTATTTTCTAAATAACCGAAGCATAACCAACCAAAATAGAAACTGACTTCACAAAAACAATGCACAGACTCAGGAACGTATTGGTAAGTTTAAACAGGTACTAGACGACTATATAAAAGGAGTTAAAAGTATCCCAAGACTTGTAACAGCAGAAGAGGCAGAAAAGGCAATACATGTTCCAAGAGTTAAGAACCAATGTGCGCAAAAGCAGATCCCGTGGCAAGTTCTCTTGTTGCCACTCACCGGTGTAAACGCAGCTGTGCTTTGCTTTCAGCAGGGCATCAGGTGGCCACATCAGCCTCCACTGACCCACCCTGCCCGAAAGCACCAGGGGCTGCCAGGGAACTCCTCGACTTGTTCAGGCAAATACAAACCCACCTGGGGAACCAGGATCCGTTTCTGAGGGACATCACTGCTCTAACCAGGGCAAAGTGCCTTTACAGACCTGCCGCACGAGCGGCACGTCACGCCCCACTGAGAACTGTGATGAACCACTCCAGGGTCTTCACCTTGCTGGGTTTCTGCAAGGCGGCTCTTTCTATTACAAGGTAACCGATTTCTGAAAACCCCCAAGGAAACTAGAGCACACAGTTCAAACCATTGGTCATTTCTGTCTCGTTGATCTCGGACACAACAATTTTGTACCTGCCAGGAACAGACGGCTCTCGAACAGCAATTATGCCAGCAAGCAACCCTCATCCAGAAGAGGAAGCACTGGATGGCATGTGCTGGAATACTTGCTCCTCGGTACGCAAGGCTTTCCTTGAGATAAAAGGCTGGTGAAGGAAAGCCTAGAAGGAAGTTAAGGGTTAAACAAGTGTTTTACTAGACACTACAAATCTTACCCAGTCAGAAACCTTCAATTGACGAGGATGTGCAAGACATTCCCCATTTTGTCAAGCAGCAGCTTCTCATTCAACCTGAAAATTAAAGAAATTACTCTTACCTTGTTTAAAAACCCCCCGCTACTCTTTTTAATTCATGAAAAATGTTAAAGGCAAACCTTACCTATGCTCATTGCCCTTCCTTTCAGGTCTAAATGCTAGACCTATTGATCTGGGGTCAACTCAAGTAGCTATCACTCAAGGAGGTTCCAAAAGGTGAAGAACTCTTGCTAGACTTTCTTCGATATTTCAGCTGTGATAAGCAGATTTAACTAGCCTTTGGAAAGCTGCTCACTATCAGCACAGTATCTTATGCCTTCACTTTTCTGGAAGTTGAAGCTGTTGCTCCTGCTGCCTTGTCATTCTTTAATTATGCTGACTTCTCCATACTCAATAGGCTGCTGAAGTCCTGTCTTATGAGTCTCCTTAGCAAAGTATGGATCAAAGAAGTACATCCTAGGTTCTTTAAAGCTGGTTAATCGCTGTCCTTACACCTTCCCACAGCACAGAACACAGCTAAGCTATCCCACCCACCTACAAAGCGGTCACTTACATCCATCTCTTAAAAGGTTGCATACAGATCTTGTTCATAAAGTTTATTACGACACTATTTTTCAAAGTTAACATTGTTGTCACAGTACAGCTACAAGAGGCCCTGTTAAAAAGAACACTGTCAATACATTCTAAAAAAATTTAGAAATACCAGATCAATGGTCAGAAGGGACATCACCCCCATCCTCCAGTTGTCCCTGCAATCAGTTGCAGGCCCCAGGTACAAGTCTACACATCTTCTAAGCGTAGTAATGTACAAAGCACGTCAGTAGTTAGGTGGCTCACTCCCTAGTGAGTGGTGGTTTAGTTTTCAATGTTTGCAAACTCCAAATGGGTTGGTTAAAAAACGCCTTTATTGAAATACAGCCTCCCCCCCACCCCAAGCCCCAATTAATATGTACAACAACAGAAGCGTTCACTAAATCACCAATTCTTGCTGTAACTTTAGAGATAGTTTAAAACTCCACAGAAAAGAATAAGCAGACTTTGAAATCCAGTTTGGAGGCTACCATCTTGACACCAGTTCCTTGTTTTAGTGTACTGCAGTCTAAATACACTCCAATAACAGTGTTTAAATAACATTGTTTAATTATTTTTTTCAAACAACACACTCATTTTTCTACTACTTCTTAAAATTATAATTCATTAATTAATGACTGATTATGCCTCAAGCCAGTTCATACATCTTTGCAGATTCATTCCTACACTGGAATCGCATTTACCTTATACTGCACATTGACCCAGAAGTGAAAACAGGCGTGAGTAATTCCAGTACCACATTGTCAAGTGTCTGAGTATTTCTTCTATTGACTGCGTCCCTACTCTCGTGAGTCTGAATTGACAGAAAGCACTGTCCTGGCAATAATCGAGAGAGAATTCACATCAGCTGAGAGGAGTACAGACTGTAGTGCCTTAATTTGGAGTCAGAAGTGAGAGTGAAGTACAATTGCTAGCCATATGTGCTGATAAGATTTTGCTACTCCAGTGCATCAAAGCAAATCGCAACACACTATCGTTCTCCCTGTGGAAGCTCCAGACTGTACCATTCTACGTTGTGGGAAGTGTTTCTAGTCAGTAAAATACAACTAGATCGTGTTTTGCTTTATCTTCGAGCTCTTAGCTGAGTGCAGACATCCGCAAAGGAGAAAGCTTGAGGGCTATGCTAGTTAGAGCCCGTGGTGAGCGGGCTTTTGGAACGCGTTACCTGGGACTGTCAGTGATTACACCTGTGCTACCCTTGGCTCCCAGTCAGAAGAATGTGTCCAGAAAATTGCCTAGGGTGCATGCAAGAAAGTATATAGCCAGTAAGTTATTGAGGAACACACCTAGTACTCTCACTATGACGCCTCATTTAATTCAAACAGCGCAGTCTGGTGTGAGGGAGAGGGAAATGGGGACAAAGGAAGGGGATGAAAATTCCAAGCCACCCTCCCCGAAGTATAGTTTTATTGAAACAGAGTCATTGAATATCCCAAGGAAACAGGCACTTGATTCCCCCCACCTTAACTTCTCGGGAATTACAATAAATAGAAAGGTAAAAAGCAAATGTCTTTTTCTCTTCACCCAAGACTTAAGCAACTGCAGTTTTCCCTTATACATCTCAAATGAGACGGGAGACAGCTTTAATGTGTCTAAAGTCGGTCTTGTTAAAATATTTATCATGCCTTATTTTCTTGAAGCGCTAGTACTAATACAGAACTACAAATTAAAAAAATATGCACAAACCAAAAAGTAATTTGAAGTTTTCATTAAGGTAAAGCTTAGTTCTATAATTCACAAACACTAATTTGAGTAACTCAATCCTAGTTATACATCTGAAACAAACTATAATGCAACATACAGATGTTTTCCCTCTGTATGCCTATGTAACTCATGTCAATGACAGTTACATATATACACTGAGACTAGACCCCTTAAGACTGCAAATCAATAGGTGTTTCTGTTGTTAACTTTAAATTAATACAAAATAGTAATTGAGAAATGCATTTATCCTCTCTATTAACTAACAAGGAAACACCCTAAACTACATTTTATTTCTGTTATAGAGTTCTCTGTACTAAATGTGGAAAAACTGAACTACACAAATATTGAAAAGTTAAAAATTCCTTAATTTGTTTATTCCTGGTACCACTACCACAATTTACAGGGCAATATACCTGATGTAATGGGAAAATAAAAAGAAAAAAGAAAGACAAAGCTACAACAGATAAAGACCTCAGGAATGTACATCTAATCGACACTACATTGCATTAATCAATAGCTGCACTTTTTGCAAACTGTGGCTATGACAGTCCTGAACAAGAAGGGTTTCCTGTTTAAGCTGCGGTAACTTTTCTGACTATGGATCATCGTTCCTTCTGTGGCAGATTTTACAGTTCCTCTAATGCATTTGGGACGACTGTCTCAAAGTAACCTGCAGCTTTCCTGACAACTCCTCGCTCTCTCTCCTGCTAAGAACTGTAGCCTGTTGAATACAGGATAAGAAAATTATTACTCTCAGTGAACAGTTGTACATTATTAATCATCATTATAAATATGCATTACACCTACCCTTTTTCTGGTAGCATTTTTAGAATCTTCTACCACCATAGCCCCCACTTCCACTTCCAGATCCATAACCACCTACAAAAAACAGGGTGTATGTTGAAATACAACAACAAGAAATTTTAAACAAAAAAAATATTTTCTGTACAAAATGGTATTTACCACCATAAGGGCTGCCTGAACTTCTGCCACCAAAGCTGCCACCACCTTTCATGGGACCATAGTTAGACTGCTGTTGTCCACTGTAATTGCCAAAATCATTGTAGTTTCCACTTCCACCATAATTACCTGAAACAAATGCAGATTTATAAAGCCACTTGCCTCATCATGACAGCCAATGTAAATGTAAATCGTAATTGTTTAAAACAACTTAAAATAGAACTGCAAGCACTCTGCATGCTACCCCTACGCACAATGCACAAATGACAGAAGACCTGTAGCATTTTGAAGATTAGAAACTGGTATTTCATTGAAGATGAAAACCATCACACAGCATTAGAAAATCTGTACCCATTTGAGTAAGCAATTTAACAAGTTAGCACAACAGGCCAAATGTAAGGCCTCCAAACTCAGAAAGGCACGTGAATTTCACTGTCATTCTTCCACGGCCCAACACTTTGCATGTATGACAATACTGTAAACTACATACAATTTATTCGCTCTAAAAAGCAACAGAACTGTAACAGGCATGCTGTGTACACACACCACAGGGGATAATAAAGTATACAGCAGATTTTGCAGCTTAACTCCCAAAACTTGCACTAGGTCCTTGCAAGTTCTTACTGCTCCTTCTCCAACAATTCTAGAAAATCACCTAAGCTGTTTTTGTAGTTGTGGGATACCCTTACCAGAACCATCCTGTCTATCACTAAAGGCTTCCGTAACAGCTACCCCAGATGTAAAAATTAACCTTACCGTTCAGAAATCCCTGCAGGGAAATTAATACTGACAATGTAGAACACAGCTAAACTGATCATACAACAGGACATAGCTATATATATTTTGGTTAGATATTAACATAGATTTTTAAATATACTCACATAATAAAGGGTTTACATTAGTTAAGGCTGTAACAGTATTATGATAATGTGATTTCCAGTTAGTCTAATTAGAATGTGTAATTGGCAAAAGAACTGCTTTTATAAAAATAACTGGAGTAGCTCATTTCACAGGCAAACAATAAAAAAAGCTTATAGAAACTTAGATGTATAGTCCTCACCAGGGAGGACGTGATCTATGTCAGGTGACCTGGTATCTGACAGCCAACAGCATACTTCAAATGGTCAGAAGTTTAAAAATTTTCCTACTCTACTTCCACATACAGATTTGTAGTTGCTGCTTTTTGGAGAAGAAAGTTCTAGGCAAAACAATGTACCACGTATCAAAGCTGATCCAGAGGGAACCTTCCTTTTTTAACAGACCATTCTGCATTAAGACCTAATTGTACAGCTCATTTTATGGAGTATCATACTTCAGGCATACACCTGCCTAAAAAAAATTAAAAACAAAAAAAAAAGTCTAATTAAAGCTGGCATCTTACCACCACCAAAATTTCCTCCTTCATTGTAGCCATCATATCCTCCTCCTCCACCTCCATATCCACCACCTGGGTTTCCATACCCTGGTCCTCCACCACCACCATAACCTCCTCTGCTGCCATAGCCAGGACCACCTCCATAGTTGCCACCTTTGAATAAAAGAAGAATCAAACTAAACACACGGAAGCTAAACACTGGTAAGAAAAGGTCCATTTAACAAAAAATCCAACAAAAACACACAATAAAAGTGTCCCACAATGTTCTCCCTGTATTATATTCATTGTGATTGCATCATTTATCTAAAATATTTAATCCAAACAAACAAAAAAATACCCTTGAAGCATGATACTTTGAAGTTCATTCTGGCTCACAGAAAATACAGACCTGTTGCTTCCAGTACAACACATGACATGTAAATGGCTTTGTCAGTACTGTGTATCAGCCTCTTTATTCCTCTGAACTGAAATGACTCAGCAGGCAAAACCCTCAAAAGAATTCTAGACATACAGCTTTATTTACATGTGTGTCAAAGCTACTGGACTTTTTTTTTTTCTTTTTTTTTCCCTCTAATCACACGATGCATATCTGAAAGACTTAGTATTCCCAGATGCTGATCTGGCCTCCAACATTTTGATGGAGTAGTTCCAAACTGGGAAACAGTTCCATAGAACTCAACATCACTACACCTATCCGCTTATAGAATCACGACACAAGTAACTACATGCTACTTCCCTCATTTTTTCCCCACACAGAAAAATGCTACTTCCACAGCCAATTTCCACAGTTCTCTTCGGATGCATTTTGGATATTCATCCAAACTTCATCATGAAAAAGATACTACTAAGCCATGAAAAGTCTTACAGTTAATTGAAAAGATTTCTGGTATGTTAGTTGCTCATTGCTTTATTCAGTTTTAGTCATCGCAACTGACATCAGAATCTTCATTTAGTTCTCAATAATCATAAGCAGCTGCTGCATGTCCTCATGATATGAGGTTATTTAAAGGGTAAATATCGATTATTTCTTTTCCACCCATCATTTTGTGGGGAAAACAAAAAACCTTTTACTCTTAACAGCTCTGCAGAAAACATTATCGCCAAAGAAGGACTTGGTTTCCAAGGTGAAGGCAAGACTTACAGCTGGTTATGGCGTTAGTGGGGGAAAAAAAAAAGTGAACAATACACTTACCATCACCAAATCCATTGTATCCGTCACCACCCCCAAAGCTTCCTCTGCTCCCACCACCGCCACCACCACCCCCATAGCCTCCTGGAACATAAAACAGACGAGAATGTTTTCCCGAACACACGTGTTACTGTTTAAACCAACTGACACAGGAAATAAAATAATAGAAATCACATTCTATATAAACATTCCAGTCATTTACCTCTTCCACCAAAGTTTCCTCCTCGGCCAAAGTTCCCTCCACCACCTCCAAAGTTTCCACGACCCATGAAGTTGCCTGAGCCACCCCCACGACCTAAAAAATATTTTACTTAAATTACATTAATTGAAAACCAGTTATAGAAAACAACCATGCACAACTCCAAACTCACCTCTCTGAGAGCTAGCAGTCTGCATTTCTTGTTTTGAGAGTGCTTTTTTCACTTCACAGTTATGTCCATTTATAGTATGATATTTCTGAACTAGAGAAAATTGTGAAATAGGAGTTAGAAAATCAAATCACTGAAAGCAGTATGTGGTAAAACTCTCACAGAATGCTACTATAAGGCATGATCACAATTCTAAAAGGAACATTAAACCTATCCCATCTCTTACAATAGTCAAGCAGTTGATTATACCAACATCTTACATTCCACACACTGCTGTTCTGAAATCTAACTCTACGCTTTTATCCCGTAAGTCATTTCTCACTAAGGAGTTACATACCAACAATTTTATCAACTGTATCATGATCATCAAAAGTTACAAAAGCGAAGCCTCTTTTCTTTCCGCTTTGCCTGTCTTCCATGACTTCTATGGTTTCAATCTTGCCGTATTTTTCAAAGTACTCCCTTAAATTATATTCTTCCGTATCTTCTTTAATTCCACCAACAAATATTTTCTTTACTGTGAGATGTGCCCCAGGCTTTACAGAATCCTACAACACCAAAAATGACATTCAGTGTTTTAAATTATTAGGGAAAGCTCTGGAAAGTGTTAAGTGAAACACTAACTCACCTCCCTTGAAACCGCTCTCTTTGGTTCAACCACGCGTCCATCAACCTTATGCGGTCGAGCACTCATGGCAGCATCCACCTCCTCCACACAAGAGTAAGTCACAAAGCCAAAGCCTCTGGAACGTTTTGTTTGTGGGTCTCTCATCACCTGCAAAAACATCAGGGGTACTCTGCATTTCTGTACTAGGTTAAGTATCTATTCCTTTCAAAAGCACATTTGATACTTTACCACACAGTCCGTGAGTGTGCCCCATTTTTCAAAGTGCTCTCTCAAGCTATCATCTGTTGTTTCAAAGCTCAGACCTCCAATGAACAGCTTTCTCAACTGCTCTGGCTCCTTTGGCTCATGGCCCTACAAAATCAAAAATCAAAAACATATTTTCAATACAAACCAGAGAGTTACTTTTTCACAGAACTACTAAGTTATCTGTGCACATCATAACTACAAACAGGTGGAATACATTTACATAAAAACGATGACTTCTAATGGATTTAGACAGCAGCATAGTAAACACTTAATGAAGTGTGATTTTAATTAAAAGACTAACTAACTAACAACTTAAGAGTGCTCAAATGCAAACAACAGTAAAGAAATTTCAATATACTAAATAATCAGGTTGCTCCCCACCCCCCCGGAAGTGCATTCATTTTATGCCTGTCTTATGCTCCAGTTGCACATTGCTCTGTAGGGATTAGCAATGAAGTACTGTGAGATAAAGGGAAGCGCTAACACTTTATGAAGCATAATCATGAAGAACTATAAAACATTTAATAACACAGTGTACAAGAAAAAAAGGTTAACTGTCCAAATTGAGCATCTAGTCTTTTAGGATATCGATTTTGAAAGGTTATTTTTATGTATTTTGAAGAAATTTATCAATTCTTAATTCCTTAAAATTGTAAATTTTGTACTCAGATAATTTTGTAAGTTGAGTGCACGCAAGCAAGAAAGTCTAAGTGCATATGTGGTTTTCAGCGTTATAGGAAACACCTCTTAAATGTGAATCAGCATGGACTTATGTATTACAGATAAAAAAATGTCTTGAATGACTAATCAATGACCAGTAGTGAGTACAGCTACTGGCATAAGACTGGTACCCTAACAAGCATCATAAAACAAACAAGTGTAATTGAAGCTCTTGACAACATTACCTCTATATGACCAGTCACATTTTAAAATGGGCTAATTTTCAGAGCCCAGTTTTCCATAGCACAGTTAAAGTGGCCTTACAAGTACATTAGTGTTTCTGCTCTCTTTCAGCGTTGCATGGGGTTTTTTAGTTAGGCAGGGAATATCCCCCATACATTCGACAGGAGTTTATGAACAATTATTTTACAACTTTGTCCCATCCTCAAGACAGAGAAGTCTTATAAAAAGCAATCAGATTAAAATCTTATTTAGCAAGCTGGTACTTTTGTGCACATAAAACACTGCACAAGGAGCTGGCAAGCTATGCTGCTGGCTAGCTATGCTGTATCCGACTTCCACTCTGCAGCATGAATGTGTAACAGGCTTCACTGTTTCTGCTGCAGTAGGTTAACCTAGACTAGATGCAGCATTAGCCTGAGAGCTGAACTACATAAAACCAGCCGCAGACTTCTATGTGCAAATGTCTTACTTCAAATCCAAAGATTAAGTGCTTTAACCTCTGCCAGTTTAAATAAAGAAGGTGGTAGTGCTAGGGTTGGTCAGAAAAGCATACATCGTTTTGAGTGCAACACAACCACCCTAAAGAGCAATGAGTATTGTAAAGCAATACATGGCAAAAGAGAATTTCTAAGTTATATACTGCTTTAGGAAACCATTGGTTTATAATGTTCACGTTGTACTACAGAAAACAAGGCCTAAGATTATGAAAAGCTGGTTGGGAAGTAAATCCTTACCCTTATACCTGCTAAACTTAGTGAGAAAGACCGTCAGCAACTCTCAGTAATGACCTTCTATTTAAGGCACTAACTTTGTTATTACAGGAACGTTATAGAAATGATTGACAGTCAATGGTCCTGTGACTACAAAGTAAAGCTTCTTTTCCACAGTCTTCCCAGTAGTCTGGACTACAGCAGTGTAATAAAAAACCATCTCCATTCTAACCACACACAAACTTATAATCTTAGAGGGTAATGCACCTAGTATATATACAAACTGCTTTAGATTAAGTGAAATACTGCCTTCTGTAGCTAATTGCATTTTTTAAAATCTACTGACACTACTTAATTTTTAGCTGAGTTACATCAAAGTTGGGAACATTGTTTAAAACTCTCCTATGCATAGTAAAAGAAATCTATTATGCGAAGCTGTAGAGTTTAGACTCTTCTAAAACAAAAAACCTATATAAGGAAAAACTTTTTACAGTTCTCTGACAATCCTCAGGGCTGCAGGGTTTTCAGTCAGCAACTCAGACTGCTTTTACTTTAAAAGAATGACCACAGAACTATTCAGGTCACTCCTGAAAGGAAAAGTGAAGTCCCTTTACTACTTATTTTTATTATGTGCATCTGAACTGCATGGGAGAAGAAACACTTGCTGTTACAGCTTCTCTCTTATTGGAAAGGAATTACTCTCAGGACACACTTATGTTATAGCAACTCTCCACAGGAATAAAAGACATCTTCTTCAGGAATTAGTTGGTTTTTTTCAAGCATTTTGTTCTCATTGGGGATAAGTATCTCTAGGGTTTTCCAAATGCTGTCCTCTATCACACAATACATTGCTTCTCAGTCCTTCTGCTGCAAGCTACTTAGCAGTCTCTCTTGGGCAGCAAACCGTACGCATCTCTCCCTTCCTCCCTAGTGTAACTACCACACTGCTTCAACAAGATCGGCAGGCTCCCTCCCACTCAGCCGATTCTGTAGGCGAGCACGCCATTTTGCAGCGCTCCTCCGAGAGGGAGGGAGGGAGGGAGGAGGCAATAGTA